TGACAGGGGGGAGCTCCCCAACCCCCTGATGGGCCCTGCTCTGTGCGTGACAGGGGGTGGCGCCGCAACCTCCCCATCGACCCTGCCTTGAGTGTGACATGGGGCGGTGCCCCAACCCCCCAATCGGCCCTACCCTGAGCGTGACTGAGGGTGGCATCGCAACCTCCCGATCCGCCCTGCTCTGTGCATGACGGGGCGGCGCCCCAACTCCCCAATCGGCCCTGCTCTGAGCCCAACCAGGGGCTGCACCTAGGGATTGGGCCTGCCCTCTGCCACCCGGGAGCAGGCCTAAGACAGCAGGTTGTTATCTGCCGAGGGGTCCCAGACTGCGAGAGGGCACAGGCCGGGCTGGGGGACCCCCCTCCCCCACCCCCCGAGTGCACAAATTTTTGTGCACCGGGCCTCTAGTACTCTATAAAGGGCATACAGTTTGGAATCAGACAGATGTGTCTGGATTCAGATTTTAGATTTAGCACTTATCTAGTAGCAAATACTTCTTTAAACATCTATGTTCTCATCTGTAAATGGGCACAATAGCTGACAGGGTTGTTTTGAAAACTCTGTTTCTCATGTCCCTTGGTGGCTCTGGTTGATTTGTTATTAATTTAAACTTGTAGCAATCTGTTATCTGTTATTTTGATAAGGTCTTAAAATATATTCTCTTTGATAGCAAAATAAAATGTCTTATTCCATATTTAAAATGCTTCAAGCATCTTACCCCTTGGAAGTACTTTTGAGTGCTTTGGAAATCAAAATTGCAGTAATCACCTACTATAGCTCAACTTCTGCCTGGTGATCCTCCCATTCTTTAGGAGCTATCTTCTTAAATGTGTCTTTTCTCTGACCTCTCTCCCCACCCCTGGTAAAGTCAATTAGTATTCTTTTGAACCTTCTTTGAACCTTGCACACATTATATTAGAACAAGTGCCTCATGAGAGTATAATCATGTGTGACATATCTACCACCCTTCCTGACTAAGAACTCCTTGTGGGATGTCCACTGGCCATTGATTCTTCCTCTTGGGGACATTATGTCCTCTTCTGTCTCATATTAAGCATTAACACCTTCTTGGCTTCCAAGGTCTCCTCTACGACAACCCCCATAGAACCCTAACCTTCTAGAAGGTTCTCCATGCTTTTGATCATTCTACATTCATCTCCTTTAATTTCTGTCTTGTGACCCAATCCTAATAGCCAAGCTATACAACTAGCAACCAGCTAATCCAATTAAACAATTCTTGATAAGATGTTTTCAGACACAGGTTTGAAATGTATGTTATATGTATTAAATGATATATGCTAATATTTGCCTTAAAATGTAACTAGTAGAGTCTATGTCAGACATTGTACCTGGCTAAGGAGACTCTTACCATCTTAAATATCATTATATGATATAGGGCAAGCTCTGAAGCCAAATTACCTCAGATTAAATCTGCCCCTTTTTATTTGTATAACCTTGGACAAGTTATTTAACTTCTCAGTGTTTCATATATACAGTGAGTTTCCTCATATATATGAAGGGGATAATAAGAAAAGTTAGCTCCTATGGTTGTCCTGATGTTTAATTTATTTAATATACATAATGTGGTAAGAAAGGTACCGAACAAGTGACAGGCCCTATATAACTCTAACGTCTATGTTACTGCTTGCAGATGAGCTTCTTGACTACAGAGTGGTAATTTAATATAGTGAGACACTTAAGAAAATCTTTTCCTAAACCCATCATTCCATAACCATGAATTATGTGGTACAGAGAACTGGAAAGGAAATGTATTGATACAATCCCATTCCCCACAACATATATACACATACTGTGTGTTGTGATTGAAAGAACACTGACTTAGGAGTTAGATGATTAATGAGCATATCTGGATCCCACCACTTCTTATTAGTAGTACAAACATGAACTTAGGGCTGCAGTGTATCTAGAAAAAATAGAAAAGCCTGCTTGTTAAGTTCACAGGATGTGGAGACCAAATGGGTTTAGAAAAATATCCTTTCACAAATTGTAAAGTGCAATAAAAACAGGAGGTGTTCTACCAATAGAATGGAGTTTTTCAGGGGAGCAACAGCTCTTTTCTTGGTGTCTGCCAGACAATAAATGTTCACTAGCTTTGTACAATATGAATTCTTAAGGAGAGGACTTTTGCAACAGGCCAGGAAAATATTTAAAACTAGAGTCCCGGTGCATGAAATTCATGCACTCAAGGGGTGGGGGAGGTGTCCCTCAGCCCATCCGGAAGCCTTCGGGGAGCAGGCCTAAGCCATCAGTCGGACATCCTTAGCACTGCCATGGAGGCAGGAGAGGCTCTCACCACCGCCACTGTGCTTGCCAGCTGTGAGCCCAGTTTCTGGCTGAGCAGTGCACCCCCTGTGGGAGCACACTGACCACCAGGGGGCAGCTCCTGCATTGAGCGCCTGCCCCTGGTGGTCAGTGTGTGTCATAGCAACCATTTGTTCTGCCATGCGGTCAATTTGCATATTAGCTTTTTAATATATAGGATTATAAGACTTGATGTGAACAGTAAAACAGAAATGTTAAGATTTTATGCATTCTCTGTTTCCAGGGTGTTTGAAAAGAGTTGTTTCCAAGCATGGGCAATGTTTTAAGGGGAGCGTTTGCTTATAATATTGCCTATAGTAATTTCCTGAAGTCATACCTGTCTGTCCTTGTCCCCTTGTGGCAAGCTGTGGCTCTCATCCACCTCAAACCATTGCAATACCCAAGAGAAAGCAATGCTCAGCACATGCTTGCTGAATAAATCAATAAATAGGTGAGTGAATATTTTCTATATTCAGCCAAATGTACAAAATCTTGAAGTATTCAAACCAATCCTTCATCTTCTAACTATTTATTTTGTAAGGAATTTCGTTTTGTTTTGATTTCTATTTACAGAAGCCTAGCAGAGAAACAGAAAGTCTTTCTGTAGAGTGATTGCCATTAAAATTCTTTTATATCAATTATGATGTTAAATTCACAATGTTAATTGCTGCTTTTCCACTGCAGTTTGTTTACTGCTGCAGAATCACAATGTATCAAATTCTTGTCTGCCTAAGTCCCCTGATAATGCTCCCCAGAGAAACACAAAGGCTTAGATGCTACCTCAGAGACATGTGTACTTGAACCTCAGTAAATTGAGGAGAGAAAAATGCATTAGTCAAATTTCATGTTGAGGGCAAAACATTGAAACTATGGATGACATCAAATAAATCTGATTTAATCAGCATTGATTATTTTCAAATTCAGTAGATAAATCCATCTTCCTAAAATCAACTGAAAGTCTAGTAAATGCACAATACATATCAGTCAATTATTTCCCATTATAAATGTACTTGAACCTAGCTTCATGTTAAAAATTGTTGGACAGAGCTTCATGGTTCTTACTTAAAATAATTTTCATGCACAGATACTTCTGACAAAATTTTAAAATGTCATTTCAGACCCACAACATGGCAAAAACTGAAGTAATATTTATCTTCTCAGGCAGGTAAGCTCTTATTAGTAAAATTCCACTCCATATGATGTTCTTTCTTAGCTTAGAAATTACAGTCTGCATTAGCATATATATTTTTAATCTTAATGCTTAGAAAATATGATTAGATTTTTGGTTACTGTCTTTAGAATCTTCCCCGAGGCTTCCTCTGGGCGCCATGTCTTTTTTTCCATTTTCAAAAACCATACCAGGCAACTGCAGGATTTTCCTGTCTCTGTCACTAAACTTTCTGCCCTCAAGTACAAAGAGCTTTTATGCAATCAAGATTCCAAAATCTCTATTTGACTGTGCCAGTCCCATGCTCAAAAACATTTATTGACTCTACAACTGCTTATGGAATAAAATCCAAACTCCCTCACTTGGAACTGAAGTTGCTCCATGGTTGTGACATTATCTATGTTTTAAAGCCCAGCCCTAAAAGTCTCTGAAGTGAACCTGATGATGTCATCTGATTGTACTCACTGTTCCATGCACATACGTTTCTTTGCATCATATCATTTTATGTTAGTTCTCCAAATTAGAATGATCCCCCCCACTCCTACTGAACTTCTTCAAAGGTAAGTTTAACTCTCAGGTTCTCTGTAGCTCTGTTCCTGACCATAGCATCCAGAAGAGATCTCTAAGAATCTTGTTCATCCATAAGAACCTTCTATAAGTCTTTGTTAAAATTATTCTCATTATCCTGTAATATCATTGTTGAGAAGTGTTCCCTATTCCTCTATTTTCTTAAAGAATGTGTGTGTGATTTGGATTATTTATTCTTTAAACATTTCATAAAACTTTGTAAAGCCATCTGGACCTGCAGTTTTTGTTTTGTTATTGTGGTAAGATTTTAAATTAAGGATTTAATTTCTGTAATAGATTAGGGTTGTTTGGATTTTCTATTTTCTTGTACTGGCTTTGGCAATTTGTGTTTTTCAAGGAATTTGCCCATTTCATCTAAAGTATCAAACTTATTGGTATAAATCTGTTTTCTAAGTGTGTTTCTCTTTGTAGTCTATTGTTCTGCTTTTAAATTCACTGATCTTTTTTTCTGTACCATCTAATTGACTTTTAAGCTCATCCAGTAAATTTTTTATTTCAGATATTGCATTTTCAGCTCCAGAAATTCCATTTGGTTCTTTTTTTTATAGGTTCAATTTCTCTTCTCATTTTGTGAATGATTTTCTTTAAATCCTTGAATATATTTATAATAGCTGTTAAAAATCTTGTCTGTTGATTCCACTACCTCAGTAAATTCTGGGCCTATTTCTATTGATTTCTTATGGCTATGGGTCATATTTTCCTGCTTATTTGCACATATATAAATTTTTATTAGAAACTGTACAATTTGAATATTTATGGTTGATACTGTATGTTATTATCTTTTTAAAAAAATATTGAGTAAGTTTTGGACAGAAAGCTACTTAGGGAATCAGCTTGATCTTTCGAGTGTTGGTTTTTAAGCTTAGGTAAGGTGGTCTAGAGTATCTTCTACTCTTCAGCTAAGTTAGCCTTCTCTGAAGCCATGGCCTTTCTCTGCTCTCTACTGAATATTCAGAGTGTTCATTGAAGTCTCTTAACTCTGGTTGGTTGGAACTTGAACCTAGCCCAGGTCTGTGCAAGCGCTAATAGTTGTTAAATTTATAGCTCCCTGGTAGTTAGTTTTGTAAAGTGTCCCTAGGCATCAGCAACTTTGTATTACACCACATTTTTAAGGATAGTTCTGTGCAGGTTTCTAGAACTCTGATTCACTTCATTCCCTTCTCTCCCTTACTCTATTTTGTTATTCCAAATACGTCAACCCCTCCAAACACGTCAACCTCTCCAAACTCTGATTAGTGAGATCTCTGTGCTTTGCAAGGATTCCTCCTCCTGCCTCTGCCTCTGCCAGAAAGACTGGATCATCACAGGGATCATTTTATATA